TTCAGTATTAGTAGGGACCTGTCTCTAGTGACCATACCCAAGTTTGTGCCTTTGCTGGAGACCCCTGGCTGTCTCCCCACTATGACTCTGCTAGCACAGACCCCTGGCTGTCTCCCCTCTATGACTCTGCTAGCACAGACCCCTGGCTGTCTCCCCACTATGACTCTGCTAGCACAGACCCCTGGCTGTCTCCCCACTATGACTCTGCTAGCACAGACCCCTGGCTGTCTCACCACTATGACTCTGCTAGCACAGACCCCTGGCTGTCTCCCCACTATGATTCCCCCTGGAGAGGGGGAACCACAGGCTAGTGCAGCTAATACATCAGTTGTTTGGCCGAATGAATGAGTGAAATAAGTAGTTGTGACCTGCAGGTATTTGTACTTGGGCCTGAGTACTTTGGTTTAGAACCAATTTTCCACATGGTGATGCTGTGAAATGTGTATTACTCATATCTGGATTATGACATTATTTAACCTGTGTTTCCTTATTTGAACAAATATTCAGCTATTTTTTAAAGTTGTTTTAAACTTAAACTTCTGCTTCCTTTTGCTGTATCTTACACTTGTGAAAATGAAAATGTAGCTTTGTCTATCACGTCAGTGCTGCCCTTTGAATAAATAGATGTGAAATCCAGTGCTATTTCTGTACACGTGACTGAATTCTTCTAAAACTGCCACACTGGGCCATGTCACCAGAGCCCCCAGCCTCTTAAAGCTTCCCTCTATCATGGGTCACAAGGAGCCGACCGCTAAGCGCTGCCGCACTCAGTTCCCTACCGACATATCTCAGTTCCTTAGCACTCTCTTGCATTAACTGCATATCAGTAATTGCATTGAATAGATTGCATATAGGCTGCATTGGCTAGAGTGTTGATGTAGTTTTAAGTCGACGACAGGTATAAAAGGCTTGGCAAAAAAAAGAGACTTTGAATGTAACGCGTTCTATTTAACAAATTCAGAAAATCAACTGTGATCACCTTCAAAATAGTTCCCTCCTGAGTTGACGCACCTGCATACCATGCTGCCAACGTTCAAAGCCATTCCAAATTGACTTCCTCAGCTGCTGCTCGAATACCCAACCATCGGGATTTTCGAATCACACCTCGCACTTTGTCGTTGTTGTCATCGATAACAGCTGTGCGTGGACGACCTGGGCGATCATCATCTTTCACGCCTCCTCTTCCCTCCGAAAATCATTTGTGCCGTTCAGAAATGCGTGCACAAGACATGCAATTTTCTCCGTAAGCCTTAGTCAATAATTGAAAAGTTTCCGGCGCAGATTTCTTCAGTTTAACAAGAAACTTGATAACTCGTTGTTAACATGTACTATAGCCATTTATTTGCCTAGCGCTCTTGGTTCCTATAGGATTAGTCTTGGTCTTGGTCTTGTTGTTTTTGTGTGTCTGACCTCGTAGATGCGGCTGTCCACTGAGCGGCAATGTGGCCTCACACCCACAGGACTGTGGGGTCAGTTATTCCTGTCTGCTTGGGCCTTCTTAAAGGGCCATGGTCCACAGTTCCAAGGCCATGGTCCTTCTAGAGTCTGAAGGTACCTTTGAATCTCTCTGTCCACATTCCTGCAAATATGTACGTGTGTGGGAGACTGTCCTGCTGTGTAGGAGTCACTATCACTCTGGTAAACATGACCAAACCAGTACGAATGAGTTTGTGAAATATGTTTGGATTTTTTTTTAATTGGTAATTTTCTGTGTTTTGTTATAGTGGATTTCAGTTTGAAACCTTTGAAGCCTTTAAGTTCAAAAGCAGTCTTCCTACTTTTAATCTCTATTGCCTAAAACGGTGTCAGTGTCCTGGGTTGGAGTGGCTGCAGAGAAATCAGTCTATCTTTGAGCACTGTCCCATAAATCATGAAAAATATGATGATTATTAGGGTTGTGTTTCAGGCTATGCTTCAGCAATTGCATGGTCACGAACATTCTTGCTGGAAATGTCGCATTTTCCTCTTTTCTTGGCAAAGCAGTCAGATTCAACTTAATAGCAAAAAATGGCTTCCAAGGCTCATATGGACATGGTTAAGCTCTCAGAACTGGTCAACTGATGTCTAAAACACAGTCCCCTTAGTTTCCTCTCTAAGTTAATGCTATCAGTTTCGCTTGCTGTATAAATAGAGAAGTTGTGAATCTCACTGTGTGACCAAGCAATTGCGTTAATAACTGCATGTTAATAGCCTAGCCTATATTAACTACAGACTTCAAATGGCTTGGCTGTCTCTAGGCTAAACAGGTGCTGATCACTGAAAGCTTTATCTCTGCTTCCTTCATCAGCAAATGTCAATTCTAGCAAACTCTAAATGGCACTGTCTTGTGAGGAACTGTGCCACTCAGTATTGTATGTTGTTTGTATATAGAAGGAAGGACCTTTGTCATTTCTCTGTATTTTCAAAGTGCTTGTGGGTCTTTGCAATGACAAACTGTACTGCCCACACAGGTTATAAATTCAGTTTGTCAAAGCCCTTGGATACAGTTTGTTAGGGGGATATATGTAGCATCCTGAACTAAATTTAACCAGCAAGAAAAAACTCACTGTTGCAAAACTCAACTTTCTTTTCACAGCTTTCATATTACGTACAGACAGTGTTGTGTTCCAGTCCTCCTTAGTTGATTCTGAGTCAAGACCGAGTTTAATAAGGGGGCGAGTCCAAGACCACACAGAGTCATTACCGGAGCCAAGTAGCCCAGTCTGAGTCCAGGAAAACACAAGTTCTGTTCTAGAGAAGACTTTGAATCTGAATATAACCATAAATCATGGGTCAAAAACCATAAATTGAAGACTAAACAAATACCACAACTATAAAAATAATAAAAAAATAATTTACAACTAAGAAATAAATTATTTTTTTAAACCAAAGGTAACAATCCCCTCCACTGCATCTTGTTGTAATTATTGATTTCATTGCGACGTGACTGTATCCTGCTGAACCCATTTAAAATTGGTTTTGGAACCAAAGAACGTACATAAAGCAATACAAAGTCTGTGGTGTGTAAGAAATAGAACTTCAAACACAGGGATTAATACACAAGGATAGCTATTGCTAGATTACTATGTAAAACAAATTTTGGTTGGACACTTGGTCAGTTGTTGCCTTTCAACAAACTGAGTTAGCTAGCATTAGCCTACGCACCTGTGTTCAAGTTTCCTTTCCGAATGTTGATAGAAACTGTGAATCGCGCCAAGCACTTCAGTGTTCGATGCATTGCAATATTTGCATTCTGAGGTTCAAAAATTCTTTTTACTGGACGTCTTGCACAGAAACACCTTATGGTTTGCGTGTGCAAACCGGATAATTGCTGACTCAGCAGACTTCATGAAGGGCATGACTTGACGTGCACAATTTTTGAAAAACATTGAAGCTAATATATGAAAACGGGGTGGGGGAATTAACACGTCAAGACAGAGCCCATTCATATGTGGACTTGAGACCGGAGTCCCGGAGTAGCACTGGGTGATGTATCCCAGTTAACTGATGTCCAGCTGGCATTGCTTTCGTATGAGAGAGAGTTCCGTGAAAAGAGCCGCAATGGTTCAAACGCTAGACAAAAATACTCCATTTTTCAATTGCTAATAAATTCACAATGCTTAACGTGATTATTTTTTTGTCCACAAAACAATGCTACAACTATGATTTGTTCATTTTTACCGTCATCTGTTACCTTGCAGTGATTCATTTTAATATTCAATTATGAATTAGTCTTACATTAGATGGAAATTGCTGTGATTAAGCCTAATTTCTTTTGTTCTCCCCCGTTGTACAGAGCTGAGAAAACAGAAGTCCTCAGTGATGACCTTCTGCAGGTGACTATAAACATCCTTAAATATTTTCTACTCCATTGCCTGTAGGTCTACATAAATTCTCATTTTGCCAGGATTGCACACAGGCCTCTGGTCTTAATGAGATTATGAATCATCTTATTAAGACTCTATATTTGGCTGTCATCCTTATGTCTGACATGCATTGTGAGCTATAACCGCTTAAACGCCTTGGGCTGGAGGTGTTTGAATAGCTTATAATGATGCCTAAATTACATTTTTGTTGCAGTTCAGTCTGCATGTAGCGCTAGTATAAATACACTGGCCATGCGTTCAAAGAGTGAGAAAGTGTAGTCTTTGTTGGACTGTCCTGTGATCAGTAGAGGGTAATTTAGATTAAGGGCTACTTCAAAATGCCATCTGATTAAGTTAATAGAAAAGTAATCGTAGGTGTGCTTAGAATATCCAGTATGAAAGCAGCTGCATATTTTAAAATGGGTGCAGCTACAGTGTTGTTATGAATTTGCAGCTGAAACTGTCATAAATGCAGTGATGAAGCTCAAATCCCCGAGGGCTGCCCTATTTCACCAGACACCATATGCTGCTGTAGCTCTTTGTGCTGAGTGTTGCCCCTCTACAAATTTGTTTCTTCGCCGTTCCTGTCATTAACGACTTGCTCATACCAGTCAAATGTGCTGTGCACAAAAACGTTAGCTGCACCATCTAAGTTCCGTTTATGGCTAGATGCTAAGCACCCATGTCTGCACCTTTGTTTTTATTGCCTGACCTGTGGTACACTTTGGTAAACACCCTGAAGAAGAAGGGCCGCTAACCTAGCGTGAGGGATTTCCGCTGCTTGTAGTGGCATTCAGTTTCTGTCTCTGTGTGTTTGCTTCTCCAGCTCCTACAGCTGCAGGCATGGAGAAGTACAGGACTCAGGGCAGCCGGGAGCACAGAGCTAACAGCTGGGGTCGTGGGTCAGGGGTCAGAGGTCAGGGAATAAGGACACGACTGGTCCCTGGTTTAGCCGCGCGTTTCCCGTGCGTGGTGGAGCAGGGAAGCCGGCAGTGAACTCGGACTGGGACAGGAATCCCCCGCCTCGCCGGAATGTTCGCAGGAGCAGCTCCTGGCACCCGTTTGCAGGCTGTGTCAGCTGTGGGGGGAGCCCCTGACAGAATGTGTGTGGGGGGGGGCAGGGAGTGGAGGTGGTTATCTCATCTCCCAGCCAGTGGGATTCCTGAGTCGCCTGGCTGTTTTTTGGAACGCAGTGGCTTTTTTTTTCTTTATGTTTGTGGCGTCTCCCTTCATGCGTTGCCCTTTATTCTGTCGCCCCAGCAGCCCTCAGGAAGAAACCGCTCACAGTTTGTGTTTTTCTGACACCCGGTATTTGTTCAGATGTTTAATTTTTATAGCCCCTCCTCAACTATAAATTGTTTTGCTAGGGAGTGCAGCTCAGGCAAAGCGAGCACACCCACGTTTCAGCTGTAACCCTGCACTGTAACCCTGCATGTCCTCATTTGCAGGCCTGTGGATGTGCCTGTGCTCACAAGCCCTTACCTGTTCGCGGTGATGTTTTGTACACGGATCCCAGGTGGAAACCAAATCATGCATCGCTTAGTTTGTAAGGAAACTGCTTCGTCGACATTTAATCTACGAATGAGATTTTTTTTTCTTTCAAGAATGTTTTTGATGGTGGTTGAGAGTGGTTCAGAGATGCTGTAAAGTATTCGGATATTAGTAACTCGCTCATTAGCATAAATCCTTTGGGAGTGTTGTTGTGCGGCCTTTGCTGTCTTCACGTTGTCAAGTGCCTCATGGGACGAGAAACGAGGCCGACCGAGGCCCACGAAAGCATCATAGCTTATGTCCCAGGTTAGTCGTGCAGGTCTTTGGGTGCTGAGCTGTTTTACGAGCAGGCAGGAGGCTCAGATTGACGCCAGTCTTAGTCATTTTTCGCAAGACTCATCTGCAGTTTGTGTTCCTTTCACTGACATGTGATGGTGACCCCTCCCCCGCCCCCGCCCCCTCCACACACAGATTGAACGGCGCATGGAGATGGTGCGAAATGTGTCTCACAACACCCACAAGAAGATGGCGTCCTGTCTGCAGGGACACATCGGCACGGATGCCGAGAAGAGACACGTAAGGGCAATATCGGCAAGTCCCTCTTGGCTTGCCGAGGATACGCTGCTTGTATACGAGTCCCCCCCCCCCCCCAGGCGTGACAGTGATCACTGGCACAGTAATGCATATGAACTGTTTGCGCCCACAGAAGAAGCTGCCATTGACTGCCCTGTCACAGGCCATGCAGGATGGGGGCAGTCAGTTCGGGGAGGAGTCCCTCATGGGGTGGGTTGTGACCCGCTAGACACACCGTACACCCTCCACTTCAGTCTCTGCCGCCCACTTTTCACTGTAACTCTGACTCGGAGAATAAAAGTACGCAAATGTAGCTGTCTGGATTATATTGTATTATGCAAATTCTGGAATGATTGTACGTACCAAATACCGCTTCAGGCAGTTTTGAAACGTAGTTTTCAATTAATTCCTGCTAATCCATAATGTCATTTTCACTAATATTATTTTAGGGAACATTTTGTGTTGTTGGAAATGTTTGTCATTCTCTGCCTGGTGCGCCCTCTCTCTCTGTCCACCTGGGAATTGTAGATTATTTCTCTGAAAGGTGGATGTGTCTGTGAATTTTGGAGGGCCTGTCCACTTGCCAGTACCTAGTAAATTTTATGGTTTGTTGCTGATTTAGTCACACCTGAGTGTTCATTCACTGCTATAAAATGAATGTCTGATTAACTGCCTGAACAGTCACATACAGAAATAACAAGTAGAATAAAATCCTGTTGACATTGTGTCCTTTTACGTTCATATAAACTGTTGATTGTACAGAGAAAAAATTATTAATTTAAATTATTTAAAAATTCATTTAAATAATTCTATTTGAATTATTTGGATTAGTTATTGAATTCCTGACAGATAATCTATGAAATACCATGTACAGTTTTATTTCTGAATTCTCTGTAAGTACCTACAGTAGGAGACACGCCTGTTTGAGCCGTTTTGCGTTTGGTGGCTCTTCTGGTTTTTCTTGAGTTGCGTTATGCTGGTTTCTCATGTGTGTTGGCAGTAAGATGATGGAGGTCTGTGGAGATGCTGAGCACCGGTTGGCCTCAGAACTGATGCAGTACGAGATGCAGATCGAGAAGGACGTCCTGGACCCCCTCAATCAGTTAGCAGAGGTGGGGCTGTGATCCAATCAGTCTTCCTCTGCTCTAGCCTTCCTTTTGGATCAGATCTGTGCCTTTTTCTCTGTAGTTTTTGCTTTTTGTTTGCATGGCTTAATCAAAAAAGTGTCAGTAGAAAATGGTGGATGTCCAGTGGTGGTGAGCTGGACATGGCTGAATAGCATGCTGCTCTCTCGCCTCCAGGTCGACATTCCTAACATAATAAAGATGAGGAAACAGCTAGCCAGGCTCGTGCTGGATTACGACTCTGCTAGAGCTAGGTAACTTCGCTCATTTGTTCGTGAACTGGTCCACGCAATTGGGTTACGGCCCTCATGATCTCCGTGTGACCTTGTTTGTGGGCTTGTTTACGTCTCTTTTATTTACTAGGTGGTTGCAGGCAACCAAGTCCATAATCTCAGGAACAAACACCCAAGCACTGACAGCCAAGGCAGATTCCCTGAAGGAGGAGGTGGATGAAGCCATGAACAAAGTGGAGGTTTGCAAGGTATCGGCCATCACGTGCACCTGAAGCTCCTTGGCTTCTGTAGCTCGATGGACGGGGTCTGGGACTGGACCTGCTAGGATGGAGATACTCTGCAAACAGGATACACATGATAGTAGGGAAAACCGCAGTGACGAGGCGGGAGTAGCTGCCCCCGCCGGCGGGATGAAGTGAAAGTGCCGCTACTGTTCGGAGGGGGGCCATTTGTTCAGTTATTACAGGCAGGCCTCTCGTATGTCACATGACCCGCAGAATTGGGAGAACACCAGTCAAAATAATATACACCCTTTACTAAGAGTTCTATTTAAGTAAGTCGAACTATTTTAATGGAGTGGTTGTTTTATCGTTTTATTTGATTATCTCTTTATAAGTTAATATAACAGGGCACAAGGCTTTTTTATTGGTCAGTTGAAATTTGAGCAATCATTCAGCACTGGAAATATAAAATACCCACGCAAGTCTTTCACTTCCCTGATCGTTCTCTCTGATGCACCGTGGCGTAGCTGTGGCTGAAGCCCCGTGGCAGCAGGCAAGCTCAGGCACACCCAGCCTATTCGCTTCGCCGACTGACTCCATGCTTAGAGACGTGCCGTTCTGCAATGAAATGGTTTTGGCTCAGTGCCCTTTTCTTTCATTTGAGAAGCAGAATCATCCGGCGAAGTGGCCCCTGTCTCCTCGTTGGACTTTATCAGTTTATTCTTTTGCACATGCGTGTGAGTTAAAGCCAGCAGGCACTCAGGGTTGATGTTTTTATCCCCCTGCTCACCAGGACCAGCTGGCTGCAGACCTGTACAGCTTCTTCTCTAAAGAAGGGGACTATGCACAATATTATGTATCGGTGAGTGGATGCTGACGTCGGTCAAGGCGTGTCGTGTTTTTGTTCATGATCATAATTTATTCATGCACACATCCTATATATTTTGACATTGTAGATAGTGTCTGTTCTCATTTAGCTCATTACGTGGGTTCCCTCAACTGGAATGAATTCTGCGATTCAGATCACTTCCAGTTTCAGACGTCTCTGGGGTGTAAGGTGTCGGGGCAGTAATTTATAATAGTGTCATGTCATATTTCACTAGTGGATGGCGAAGTGCTGACAAGTAGTGAAGTGAAATCATGGGAGTCGCCAAGCATCTGGAAAAATAAATAGCATTTTTTCTATGTAGCAAGTTCACCCTGGATGTCATACACCTCCGAAAATACTCTTGCCCATGCGGAAGAAGAATCAAATCAGTTTTCATTCTCGTTATGTCTAACTGTCTTTGTCACATGTATATAGTAAATCAGGGCTATTCAAATCACGGTCCTCAAGGGCTGAGCACTGCTGGTTTTCCAGCTTCCCTGTGAGCCAGGTGTGAAGCCTCTGACCAATCAGAATTGGTCATTATTAAACTAAGCACCTGGTAGACGAGAAAACACGGCTTGGATTTGGAATCGAGGGCCAGATTTGAAGAGCCCTGTCATAGATGTTGTCCTCGGTCTCTGCAGTGTGGACCAGCTGAACAGCACACCATTTTGTAACACCCTTGCTTCTTGGCTTGTTTGTTATAGTTATTTTTTACTGTGTATGTCGTTGTTTTTGGTCTCAGCTATTAGAAGCGCAGGCTGATTACCACAGAAGGTCCCTGTCGGTGCTGGAGAGCGTCCTCCCAACTATCCAAGAGCAGCAAGGTAGAGTGCACTGACGCGCTTTACCCACTACGCTCCAGGGCATTAATGCGCTTTACCCACTACACTCCAGGGCATTAATGCGCTTTACCTACTACGCTCCGGGGCATTAATGCGCTTTACCCACTACGCTCCGGGGTATTAATGCGCTTTACCCACTACGCTCCGGGGTATTAATGCGCTTTACCCACTACGCTCCGG